ATGTGATATATGCATATATGTGTGTGTGATATATGCATATATGTGTGTCAGACCTATATATATGTATACATACACACACACACACACACACACACACACACACCATGGACTACTATTTAGTCATGAAAAAGAATGAAATCATGTTTGTTTGTTTTTTTTGCAACATGCATGGAACTGGAGGACATGATCTTAAGTGAAATAACTCAGAAACAGAAAGTCAGATACTCCATGTTCTCACTTGTCAGTGTGCACTAGATGCTACATGTTTTATCCTCTGTATGCAACATAGTGCTTGGCATGGGGCAGTTACTCAACATACTTCGTTTTATCAAATAAGTGTTATCTGGCTTCTTGTTGTAGTCATCATCATCCTGCTTTGTCACTGGCAAAGCATTGTAAGGTACCTGTCTCTGTTCAACCAGCATGGACAAATACCCAAGTACTTCTGCTTTTTCCCTCCTTTTCTTTCCCAATTCAAGTTCTTTTTCAGGATAATAATAATGATAAATCCTGTTTATGGGCATTGTACTAAACTCTTCCTTTTTATTATTTCTACTAATCCTCACAATTCTGGAGGTAAACATTGCCCATTTTAAGGTTAGAAATCTGAAGTTTGGAGAGGTTTCACAACATGTCTAGGACATAGTAAGGAAACAGCGATCCAAAGCTCAGCCCCACTAAGTTTCAGACTTTACATAATTCTTTAGTCAATTCCTAACTTGTGTTGTCAGACCTATTTCCCATCATCTCCCTAAATTCCAGCTCAATAGGACCATCAGAAATTCTCTTCATGTATCCTCACAACTTTGCTTCTATTGTTGCCTCCTCCAGATGCCCCCCTCACATGGTACCCTGCGCAAAGCCCAACTCAAACATCTCCTCTGTCATGAGGCTATCTGTGCTTTCTCTACCCCTCCATTAGCTACGATCTTGCTTCTTTGTCACATTTAGTTTGAACTTCTCTTACAACAGGTATTATATTCTGCCTCGAATTAGAGCTATTCTGATGCACATCTTTCACTTTATCCTTCTTTACCTTCTCAACTAAGTATAATAATAGCAAACGTATATACTGCTTACTAGGTGTCTGAGAACAGTCTAAGCACTTAAAATATATTAAGTAACTGAATTTTTTTTTTTTTTTTTTTTGAGACACAGTCTCGCTCTGTCGCCCAGGCTGGAGTGCAGTGGCTGGATCTCAGCTCACTGCAAGCTCCGCCTCCCAGGTTGATGCCATTCTCCTGCCTCAGCCTCCCGAGTAGCTGGGACTACATGCCCCCGCCACCTCACCCAGCTAGTTTTTTGCATTTTTTAATAGAGACAGGGTTTCACCGTGTTAGCCAGGATGGTCTTGATCTCCTGACCTCGTGATCCGCCCGTCTCGGCCTCCCAAAGTGCTGGGATTACAGGCTTGAGCCACTGCGTCCGGCCGTAACTGAATTCTTATAATTAACTCTTTAAGGTATGTACAATGCATATGCATCCTCTCTGTTTTGCCAATGAGGAAACTAAGGCACAAAAAAAAAGGTCAGTAAACTTGCCGGGGGTCATAAAACCAATGAGTAGCAGTAACAGAGCTTGCACCCAGGTAATACAGCACCAGCACCAGCGCCAGCACCCATGCCATGAACCATTAGGCCAGGTTGCTCAGGTGTAGCAAGATCTGCTGAGCCAAAGAATAAATGAATATACAAATAAATGAATGCAAGCCAGCAAATTCAGTGTAAAATCAAACAAGCCAGCCACATTATTTGGTTTATTTGACATCCAGTTACCCTAAATTTGTGGCATTAGAAAGAATTTTTATGTGTTAACTATTCACTTTAAAATGAATATTTTCTGAAGACACTATGCCTGGCTCAGGGCTAGAAACTGGCTAAGTTTGTGCTGTCAAGATCTCACAATCATCCAGGGTGGAGCTTGCAGGTGTCTGCCATTTGCACTGGAGTTGGTTGTGCAGAAATTTAATAACTGGGACTTTATGACTGTATTTAATTTTCTTCCTATCACGAACCATGAACTAAAGCAGTGGTTCTTCCCTCCTCATTTGACATTGTCTGAAGACATTTTTGGTGTCACAACTGAAGGTGCAGGTGTTACTGGCATCAGGTGGTTAAAATCCAAGAATGCCACCAAGCATTCCAAAATGCACAGGACAGCTGCCATGACAAAGATATATGTGGCCCAAAATGTCAATAGTGCCCAGGCTGAGAAACCCTACAGCAAAAATATAAAGAAAAATTCCTATGCCGAAAACCAAAGATGAACAAGAAGCTCTCATTGAGAGGGTACCTCTCAGACTCCTTGCAGGAAAGGCCAGCATAAAATTGAGAAAAATTAATTAAACCACAGCAGTAATAAAGAAATAAACGAAGCATACACAGCAAAATAAAATCAAGTCTAAAATACTCCTTGAATCTGCAGTAGCATTTAGCAAATTAATCTAATTACTGGGATTTTTGCAAATGCTGCCAGTGGTACTGTTGCTCTGGAAGGAGGAAGATTCAATGGCCAGTCTTCCCAGAAATTCACTTAGGAAAATTTATTAGTTAGCTATCCTTGTGTGCTGCCGGGTTCAGGTTCTAGAATGAGCAATTGCTTCATCTAAGACAAAACATCTAAACTCAATGTGTGCAGATGGCTGGCTCAGGGATACCCCCTCTATTTTAGAGGTTAATTATGTGCCCAGAGACCACATCCTGCAGACCAGCCCTCAGAGTGGAGGGTAAGATGGCTACTCCTTTACTGACTACATAGGAAAATGTGGGCTTGCTTGAAGTTCCAAAGATGGGACCCTAAGGGATCCTGGGGGGAAAATCCCCCCATTCTCCTTTTCCCAAAGTACTACTTTTTTTTTTTTTTTTAGTAGACAACGATGTCGTTCATTTAAAATGTTTACTTCAAGAATATATATATGACAATTACAGCACAAAACCAAGCACCTTCGACCAAATCACATCCTCCTCTTTGATTCCGCTTCACTCTAAGCCTCTTTCAAATTCTTTTTCCTGAGCTGGAAGACCAGTCAGTCGCCCGCGGGGTCAGCGCCTAACATGTTCCCAGCTGGGCAACTGTGTACCTCTCTCTAGGAGTGCATGACGCCCTTCTCCCCAACTCCTTGTTTTAAAGGATTTAACCCATTAGGAAGTTCATTTTTCAATCTAAGCCAAAAGGAGGTGGGGGACAAGGCAGTCTTCACTTCGAAGGCCACTTTCCTGCTCCAGTCCCTGGCTAGGGTTCTAGAAGTGGCTGGCCACTGGAAGATCTAAGTCCAGCTCCACCCAGGACAGCTCCTGCAAAGGCTGGGACCTCCAGTGCTGCTTCCTCAACCCTCTCGGTGACCACGACTCAAAGGAGAGACCTCAAGGGTGCCGGGAGCACAGGTGCTGGGGCTGCCTTCCAGTAAAGAGAACTGTCCAGGGAAACGGATCAGGTTATCCCATGGAAGCCTGAGTCAGAGATGGTGGTTTTGGGGTGATATGGACAAATTAGGTTAGTTTAGCAAAGCTCTGAAGTGGCAGAAGCTTCTCCCCTGGACTACTGATTGAACACAGAACAAAAGGTGCGCCTGGCCTCAGACTAAGTCTTAGAGAGATGCAGGCCAGTCTCCTCCTACAGGCCTTGGGACTGGCGGGAGGGACACTGCTATGTGGCCTCCAAGGGCAGGAGTCACGGTAAGAAGAGACTGGGGTGGAGCAACAAGATCATTTTTGGCATTTTAACATGGAGACAGTGACAAGTGGTAACAATAGCAAAGCAAAACAAAACAAAAACAAAAACGAAAAACTTGAAGAGACCAATATTTAACTATTTCCCATCCACCCAAGTCTCACACTTAAGTTCTATTCCGAACTCCCCATAAGCACCACTGAACTAAATATCTATTTTAAAGTACCCAAACCAGTCCAGACCCTCTGGAAACCAAGAACCCCAGCCAGAGCTGTCACCTCTCTTGGGTCCAGGCGAGAGGAGGGTTCCAGAAAAGGCACCTCGTAACTCACTCAGCACAGCGCACACGGCGGCGAGTTCAGGCACTTGACGGGGACGCGGGTGGCAGTCACAGCATCCGTGCTGACACTCGAGGAAGGGGACTCTTCAGTAATCCCAACTATTTGGTACCAGAGCCAAGGGAGCTGAGTCAGCAGAACGGTACCCCCAGTCTCAGCAACAGGACGGCCAGTGCAAGGCAGGATGCAGGCGGGGTAGAAAAGGAGACCAAGACACAGGGTGGTCAGCGCTGCTATGGAAAGGGCTGATCCTTCTTGCAAGGACTGGAGAATACACTTGACTGCTGGCTGATCAGTCTCTAACTGGCGAGTGCGCCTAGCAAGGCTCAGCCCTGGCTCCACAGGAAGCCACGAAGCCAACTCAACTGATACAAATGTTCCCACCTCTGCCCCACCTCCAAGGCCACATGGTTCCACCATCACCTGATTTTCATTTGGACTTCGTTAACAGCTGAGGTCGATATAAATGGCTAAGCACAGACTCCCAATCCCCCATCGCCGGGGACAGGGCAGATTCTATAGTGTTGCAGCCAGAAGGCTGTGGGCGTACAGGCCGCCAAGGGGAGAAACAGAACCGACACTGGCCTAGTACGATCTGCAAGAAAAAGCGGGAAAGGAGTGACCCGCTTCCGAAGCACGCGAGCATGATTTTGGATGGAGGCGGGCCGGCAAGGAACTGACTTTGCTTAGCTGCTGCCGGTTCTTGTAAGGGACATTTTTTTTTTTTTTCTTTGAGTAAATGGCAATTCCTCTTCCATGTAGCATCTGCTTGGATCGCAATGCTAATTATAATTGGAAAGGGGTGTTTTGGGGAGTGTATTCAGGAGAGGAAGAAAGAAAAAGCTTTTAAAAAACCTACATTGCTCAAAGTTTCTGCCTCTTTTGTAGGAATAAGTCAACTATTAGCAAGTATTTTAAATCGATATCAAGGGGAAAAAACGTACTTTGGAAAGCATACAGAAAAAAAGAAGGTAAGGTTGGATCACTTGTAAAACGGAACCTCAGAGAGTCCAAACAAAAATGCATCTTCGGTCAACTTTTGCTTTTTTAAATTCCTTGTTTGACTTCACGTCCCAGTGCATATGGAAACGACAGCTGCCGCGAGAGGTGTGGAGTCGGAGGAGTCTCCGGGAGCATCCAGAGGGTTCGGGGTTGTATTCTGGCAGTTTCTTGATCTTTTCTTTCTCGGTCTCACTTTCGTCTCTTGCTATCACCAAGGAGTGTGAGTAGCCCATGGCGACCTTCTCTGAGAAAATGTCATCCAGAGTCTTCACCTCCTGGGCTGCAGTGGAAGACTTGGGCTTGTGGTCTCCGTAGACCAGTTCCCCGAAGGTCGGTGTTGGGCCCCAGCTGATGATGCTCTCATCGGCGGCCACAATGATGCTGCTCTTCCCACAAGCCAGGCTCCAGATTCTCCAGCCACAGAGGTCCTGCACTGCTTTCGGGTACATGGCAGATTCACGGCAGGTGTTGGTGGCCCCCCAGAAAAACAGACCACCCACTTCACTGAGGGCCAAGGAGCAGGTGTAACCAGCATAGATCTGGGGCACCCCACGCCCAGGGAAGTCAAACAGCTTCACCAAGTGGGGGACCATCTCGTCCTTCTGCTCTGCGTGGCCCAGCCAGGCATAGCTACCGAAGCCCTAAGAGAAGACTCGCTTCTGGGAGTCCAGGACTAGCGTGTGGTTAGCACCACAGGCCACGTCTCGCACAACCACCTTTTGGTACAGGCAGAATCTGTCTTCTCGATGAAGATGACCACTCGCGGGGGTACCAGTTCGCAGTCGTACTCTATCCGCTGTGCCCGGGAGATGAACTTCCCATCCGAGTTGTGTCCCAGCTGACCATATTCAGGCCACCCAAAAGAATAGAGGTTTCCTTTTCAGTCCATTATCATACTGAATTCAGCCCCACAGGCCATTTTAGTAAATGCCAGCCGTTATACATTATCTACACGGGGCTACGGACAGAGTCTGTCTGATTGGCAAGGCCCAGCTGCCCCATCTTGTTCTCCCCAAACGCAAACACGGAGCCCGTTTCTGTCAAGGCCAAGGTGTGGTTCCGCCCACATGCTGCAGACATGATAACTTCATGGCA